AAGGGACCTTTTGGATTAGTGCCAAATTTCAAAATAAGCTATTTTTGACTTAGCCTCCTGGTATGTGGTCAGTTGACTTAAATAATTGACGTGAATATAATTGACTCAAAATAAGTTATGCAATCTGCATAGGTCAAATTGCATAGCTTATTTAGAGCTACCGGTGCAGTGTTGATGTACCCATCTAGACCTCGCCCAGAAGAAAGATGGTCATGATGGGGAGCTGCAATGTGGAGTCCTGGGGAAGCAAGAGTGGCAATTCAGGGATACCACAGGTTTGTGTAATTTCATATTAACTGTGAAGAAACATCCAGCAAGAACTTCCATTAAGATGTTCAGGCTTCACACTTGAGGAAAGATAAACATTGAGAAGCAATGACTCTGAAATAGATTTGGGGATTGTGGTGGATGATCAGATGTATGTGAGCTCCCAGTTCAAAGCTACTGCCAAAAGGATTAATATGGTCCTGGAATGCACAAACAGGGCATGTCTACACCACACGGAAGATCAGTGTTGCTGCGGTTACAAACAGGGCATGTCTACACCACACGGAAGATCAGCGTTGCTGCGGTTAATCTTCCAGCGTTCAATTTAGAGGGTCTATTATAGACCCGCTAAATCAAACTCAGAGGGCACCACCGTCAGCACAATACCCTGCTCCTCATAAGGAATAAGAGGAGCCGACAGGAGCATTTGTTCCTGTCAGCCTCCCACAATGTGGATAGTGCAGAAACACAATGTAAGATACATAGACTGTTATACAGGAGGCTATGTTAGATTATCACAATGGTTCCTTTTGGCACTGGAATCTATGAATCCATGATAGACCTAAAAGATGCTAAAGCACTGTACTTTTCATTGCTGCTGTTAAAAATGCATCAGACTCTAAAAAACAGGTAATCAAAATCTGCTTTGAACTCTTCGATATTGATATAGTTGCACACTCTGCCTTTTAAATAATTTATTTTAGAATATAAGAATGGCCATACTAGGTCAAATCAAAGGTCCACCTAGCCCAGTGTCCTGTCTGCCAACAGTGGCCAATATCCCAGAGGGAGTGAATAGAAAAGGTAATCATCATGTGATTCCCCCCTGACACCTATTCCCAGCCTCTGACAAAGAGGTTAGGGACCCCATCCTGGCTAATAGCCATTTAGAAGTTGCCTTTATGGATTTTGCCTGCGTAGCTCTTAGTATGAGACCCATATGCAATGCATTCATTCTCAGGTTGACACAGAATCATCCTCTGTACTATTTTCCAATGTTTGGGGTAAACAGAGAGCCCTTTCACAAAGGTGTTTCATAGATGAATAATACTTTTCAGGACACCTAATACATTCCCCATCCAGTTCTGAATTGTTCCCAGCAGTACTGAATTTCATCTATATGAATTTCCACACATTTTACTACGCCCTGTGGGGGGTACATTTATACAGCAGCGTTATTTCAGAATAACGTCTGTTATTCCGAAATGATTATGTGAGTGTGTACATAGCTAGCCTGTTATTTCAAATAATTTCAAAATAACAGGCAGCTTATTTCAGCGTTTGTGAACCTCATTCCACAAGGAATAATGCCTCTTCCAAAATAGCTATTTGGAAAGAGCAGCAGTGTGGACACTCCACTGCTGCTATTTTGAAATAGCTCCTCCCCAGACCATTCAAAGTAATTACTCCCAAGTGCTTCCTGGGGCTCTAAACAGAGGTAGGGCATCCATGTTAGGGAAGCCCGCTTTAGACTAATTTCCGGGCTTCCCTGTGGTGTAGACGCGCTATTTCGAAATAAACAATTTTGAAGTATTTCTTCTGGAATAGCTTATTCAAACATCAGAAAGGAGGATTTGTGCCCTTCATAGGAAATAGTAAAATGCCAGACTGCACCTCCCCAAAGGCCTCCCTCTCCTTAGAGCCAGGCTAACCAAATAGTAAACATGGTGGTTGAAACTGAGTGGAAACACAAGTGTTATTCTGACTTCACTTATATGTCTGTTATAAGGGTATGTCTACACTACAAAGTTAATTCGAACTAACGTCCGTTAGTTCGAATTAACTTTGATAGGCGCTACACTAGCACTCCACTAATTCGAACTTAATTCGAACTAGCGGAGCGCTTAGTTCGAACTAGGTAAACCTCATTGTATGAGGATTAAGCCTAGTTCGAACTTACTAGTTCGAATTAAGGGGTGTGTAGCCCCTTAATTTGAACTAGTGGGAGGCTAGCCCTCCCCAGCTTTCCCTGGTGGCCACTCTGGCCAACACCAGGGAAACTCTATTGCCCCCTCCCGG